AAGAATTGAAAGCCATACCTTCCGCTGTTTATGAAAAGTGTTTTGATGATTGAGTTAAATGTTGGGATATGCATGTCGCTTCAGATAGAGTTTACTTTAAAAGAAATCAAATAAAAATTGACCAATAATAACTATTTTATTTAAAATTTCCCGGTACTTTTTGTATAGAAGGTATATATAATTATTTAAAAACACAAAAGCAGTGACTTAAAAATAATCTATGAAATACTCGATTTTATAAAAATATTAAATGTGTTAGTAGCACAATTTTTTGTGTTATCTCGTTCTTTTGTTTTATCTAATCAAACCGGGAATAACGCCCAACAGTATCATATTCTAGCAGCAAGTAGTAAACACTTAAAACTATTGTTACATTTAATTGTTAATTTTTAAAATTGTGCAATTTGTGGTAATATCAATACCAAGAAACAACAAAGTACTCGTACATATTGTGGTATACAAAGTTTTTCTTTGTTTCAATACTTAATTATGGAAAAAAATAAAATAAAACAAGACAAAATCAACTGCACCATTAAATTGCGGGTGGATATGTGACAAATCTACAAAAGTCATCACAAATTAATAAAAATTATTCTAACTTTATTACAAAACGTTAAAAATTGGTGGCCTCCATAATGAATATTAAAATATGTTAATAGCCATACTCATGCCGTCTGACATGAATTAGCAGAAATATCAATTTAGAAACCTACTCTATATTGTCATTATAGAATCCAAGATGTCACCGCAAGGAAAAACCCTAGTAAATTACATATTTGCAACATTTTTATTTTAAAAGTATTTTCGTGTATTTGCCTTATTCTTAGTAAATATTATTCCAACAATTAAATTTTTCGCATTTCAATATATCGAAAAAACGAACTGAAATAATATAATTTTTACACTTGCGTTGTTGGATAAATAAAGAGAGAAAATAACGGAACGGTTCCAGTGTTTAATTTAAACAATTGGCATTAATTTCATTTTTATTGTTTAAAAGCGAACCAAAAGCGTTGATTCATTTATTACAAATTAAAATGTAAATCCAGTTTTTCGTTTAGAAATAAAACAACTGCATAAATTGCACCCCTTCAAACAATAACACACGCAAAAAATAGCCTCATTTCGATGACCGTCACCCTTTAATCTTTAATGTTGATTGTTGTTTGAAAAATCTGTTAATAAGCAAAAATATACTTAATATTTACAAAACAAAGTCAAGGTCGAACCGCGAATGCAAACTGGTAATTATTGGATGCATTTTATTACTTTTCACCAAATCACACTTGTTTATATTTGCATATCCAATATTTACACGTCACCCTTGCAAAACCTTTCAATAAAACAAATACAATATCGAGATGCGAAAAAAATTATATAATCAGAATAAATATTATTGTGTACAACATCGCATTTGCCTTGACATGAGTGATTGTATCACTAAACAACATTTTTGTATGATTATTATCCTCGCTAGCATTTCCGCAAAAATCTTGCAAAACATTACAATTTTTCGATTTTACAATTTCTGATTTTGATGCTTGGTCTACAGGTGCTTATCCTTATGCAAGGTTAAACAAGATAGGTCAACCACTTGTCTTAACGTCACTGTAAATCCCCTGATGCTGAGATGCCGGTTTTCATGAATATTTTTTTTTAAATAAAAACGCAATTTGTGAAATGCTGTAATTGAAAGAAGAGACATTTGCGTTGCAAGGCTGCATCATAAGCTGTGCAAAAGTGACCTACTTTGGTTCAGTTTACAAATTTTGATTTTCTTTATAGTTTCCTACATAAAACATAAAGCCTACTTACTTTCTTTTGTTACGGGGACATAAACAATTTTAACTTCTGGTAAATCACCAGTTTCCTCTATTTCACTCTTTTTATTTTTGCCCATTTTGAACCGAATCGCAAAATACACTGTTAAACTTGCTCGTCACTACGATTACTTTACTTAAACGATAACTTTCGATTTTTCTGAATTATTCATAAACTCGGTATGCGCTAAAGGTCCGCTTACACAACGTTCGCATGCGTAACTGAAAGTGAGCAAGATTTCCACAATCGCTCCGTCTTATGTGTAGCAGACCAGTCAGTGATACAAAAAAAATTAATAACAATTGTTTGTTGTTGAAGGTTTGTATTTACTCGGAAAATTTTCATAACAAGAATATAATTTTTTGCAAGGAATCGATTATTAAAATAATTCGCTTAATAGCATGTTACACACGTATAATACGTTTAGGCCCTAAATTTTTAATAATTATGTGACGTTAACATGTGTTTTCCATTTATCGATAATCTACACACATTTACGTAAACACGTTTTATTATAATTTAGTTATAAACAATCATTACTCATTGATTTTTATTGCGTGGTCAATATTAAAAACGGTTATCCGCAATCTACATTATTAAACTCTGTGGTAAGGGTTAACACTGATAAAATGCATTAAAGGAACACGATATTACGATTATTAAAATTTGCCGAATATTATCATTATCACATAGAAACTTTTAGCATTATAATTACACCCAAATTTACTTCCACGTTAACGTGAACAGAATTCGCAATGTCCTTCTAGATTTCATTCGGTTGCTTTACTCTTTTTAAAACAATAAAAATCAATATCTTTGTGAGTGGGATGACTAATGAGTTAGTCATTTTATTAAATGAATTAAAGCCAAGTATGTAATTTATTCATTCACAATTTGTAAGGAGTACCTATTTATTTATGTAGATAATTATTTATAGTTATCATTGACTCATTTTTTTTTAAAAAACTTGTTTTGTAAAATAATAATTAATCTTGCATGGGTTCCAACTTGTTATATTTACAACCTAAATGTAGAACTATGAAAACTTTATGTAAAAATAAAACATAACCCATCAATCATTTTTAAAATGATAATTTAAGTTTGTTTAGTATCAGTTTAATTTTTTTTTTAATATGTAATTAGTATTTATAGATCTACTTTTACTCATTGATTAAATGATTTTCAAATGCATAAATTAGCTTGATGAGTAATTTAAAAACGCGTTAGGTTGGCTTCGATAAAATTTCAGGTCTTTTCTTTTACGTCAGCCATGATTTTGGGTAATTTTTATTATGAGTAACTAAAGCCTTGGAATTTTTAGTAGGTACTTATTTTTCACTTTATCAAAAATTTGTAAATCTTAACACGAAATGGTATTTTCCAATTCATAGTTACACTCCACTTTATTTTTAGGTTAAATTACTCTGGAAAGCCTTGGTTGGAACATATTGTAGATAATTTTTGATTAGAAAATAGAAATAGTGCCTGTTGCATACGATGAAAAGAGATAGAAAAAGTAAACCATGGCTTATTAGATCTAACTGTCCATAACTAGGGCATATTCTCTATCTTGTTTTAACATGTCCTAATTAGTCTTTTATCTTTGTCATTTAATAAGGTTGACGATTGCGCATTAGACTTTTCAATTTTGACATTTGACAGGCAACGTATTTTGACAGCTCTATTGAATGCAAAATCTTATTAGTTTGTGTGGTTTGTTGTTTTGTTGGTTTATCAAAAGTTCATTCAAAAGAAGCGTGAGGAACGTTTAGAAAAGTGATTCGTTAAAACAACATGAGTGATAAGCTTTTTGTAGTAAAGTAAACCTTCACATTTCCCTGTAATTTTAAACGTTTTTGTAATTATGATTGAACAAAATTTCGTTGAAATCAACCAAATAGATGGGTTTTTATCATTTATTTGGAGCGTAAGTATTTTTTCCGATTTTCTCAAGGTTATGTCTGTCGCATAAACTTATTATTGTTTTATGCACTACCAAAATATCATCTACTTTCATTTTCTTTATTAAGATTACTTCGCTGGTTGTCCATGAGCTAAAAAACATGAACATTTTTGTTTCAGATCGATTGGAGGGATCCTTGGCTTCTTGGGTTATTTACATTTCATATTACTATATTTATAATGGCAATATTTACTAGAAATTATGGAAACTTCCAGGCTTTATTATTCTTCTGCCTGTGTAAGTGTGTAGACTAAAAGACAAGCAAGTCTTCTTTTTTACATTCATTAACATTTAAAGTCAAGCAAATACAAAGTTCATTATTTAAAATACAATACAGTCAAATTTAGCATAATATTTTTGTCGGTTTTTGTATGTCAGGGGTTTTGCGTTTTGCCATTGATGTTAATAACATGTTTAATTGTTAGTTTTCTTGCAATTTTAGTAAAATTGTATGTATTAAGGTTGTTAAAGAAAAAAAATTCATTTTGCAGTGTTACTCGTCTATTTTTCTGAAAGCATCAACAAACTAGCTTCAAGTAACTGGAAGATATTTTCAAGACAGCAGTATTTTGATAGTAATGGCCTTTTCATATCAGTAGTGTTTTCAATGCCAATATTATTGAACTGCATGTTGATGGTGGTAAGTTTTGATAGAAAAAATTTAGTTCTGTGTTCACAGGATGTGTTTTCAGGGCAGTTGGCTTTACCAGTCCACACAACTAATGAAAAACTTAAAGATCGCACAGTTGGAAGAACGAATAAAAAATGAGAAAAAGCTAGAAAAATCAAAATCCAAAGAAGAATGAAATGTACTTAATTTTTCATCTACATGTTACTGTATTTTTATATTCATAAATTCCATATTATTTTTGTATAACAGGTTTTAGTTATTTAAAAAAGCATACCTATAATGTAATTGCCAAGTTTATCAACCAGTTACCTACCGCATTTTAGTCTAAGCAACGCTATTATATTTTAATTATTGACAGAATAGTGTGAAATATGTAAACTAGTCAATTGGATTTTGTCATTTTGCCATTTTTATTTTTAATGTTTAATCACCTATATTTAAGGTGTCTTTCTTGTTGAAACTAACATTAGATGTAAGCTTTTTTATTATCTAAGTATCTAAGACTGAATAGTGGATTGATAAATATAAATGCACAATAAATTACTCCTTCATAAAAAGATGCGACTTTTTTTATATTTAATTTTTTATTAACACAATTAAACTACATAATTATGTACATTGAAATGTTTTTTACATCATGTGCAAAATATTTTGCTTTGAAAGCAGTGACAATATTGTGTTTTGTTTATCAGCATGTTTTGGGAGTGTAGGACGGGAAGCAGGACGGTGCATAGCTTTCAGCTTCTTTTACCAAAAGTGATGAAAAACATATTAATTCCACAAAAGTCTATGTCCTATAAAAACAGTTCTATGCTATTTATTTTTACAATTAAATAGAACTAGATTTACTAATACGTCAACTAAAAATTATTTGTTTCAAGTCTAGTCTATCAAAATAAAAAAATGATAAACTAATAAACAGTTATCGTTGTAGCGAATGCAACACGATCGAACAATTCAGTGCAACTAAACATTTGGTTTTCGATTTTAACACCCGACTTTAACAATCTTAAATAACAACCATTAAAGTGCGCTTCTTAGTCAACATACGAAAATGGACTAACCTCACCCTAAAACTCTACTGAAAAAATACGGATAGAATGACCTCCTTTGGGGCCGAGTGAGCTGCCGTTGGCGATTTGGCCTAGGTTGAGCCTGAGGCTCTGGTTCTAGAGGCTCACTAGTTGTGTCAGCTTTGGTTTCACCAAGAAGCGATTTTGGCAGGAATTGTTTCTTCATCAAATCAGAATCTTCAAGAACTTTGTTTTTCTCCAGTTTGGGGACGCTTACAGTTTCACTCTCGTTGTTTATCGAAATGTTGTTATTAAGTAGATCTATTTTTGAGTCAATTTTATGCAAGCTTTCCTCTTCACCACTGTTGAAAAGTTCCAGGTTTTGTTTTTCAGACTGTGTTGAAGTTTCAATCACCTCGGTTCGTTTTGTGGTAATAAATAACTTTTTTGTGTCCCAAGCAACTTCGACATGTTGATGTTTGTCAGTTTTTACCGGAATGTCTTTTCTATATGTTCGGTTAAGTTTCGTCAGAGGATCTGTCAGTAGAGGAAACATTTCCACTTCTTTAGACAGAGTTTTTTCGTTTTGTTTGTTGTCTTCTAATTTATTTAAGTTTTTGGGGAGATATTTGGTATTTGTGGTTATAGTTTCGTGGTTTAACTTTTTGGGGTCTTTTTCCTTCAACATTTCTTTTTTAGCTTTTTTAACAGATTTGTTTGTGACGAAATTAGCTTCAGATGGAGGCTCCTTATGGTAAACCACTGTCGTATAAAAATTTTCACCGTTTTCGGTATTATATTTCAATGTCGATCTGGTCGTTTCAGTTTCTAACTGTGGTGTTTCCATTATTATTTCTTTGGCAAACTTAACGTCATCAGATGTATCATTTATTTCAAGGATATCAAACATTGTTCCTGCAAAATTATTAGTAATGTATTGTTCAGAAATGTTATATTATTTACCGTTTTCAATAATACTGAAAAGTTGTCCTTGATTAATAGCAGCAGGATACTCTCCTACATCTCCACTTTCAGTATTCAAAGTTTTCGGTTCAGCAGTAACACTGTGAGTACTAATGTCTTGAGTGGTTAAATCGGTTATTTGTGTCGTTTTAAGCTCTGCGGATTTGTCGGATTTCAAAGACACACTCGCGTCTAAAGTCACATCTCCATCAGGATTGCTGCTAGTTGTTTCAATTTCGTGGCTCTTAGTTGACATCGTAACCATATCTTGTTTGTGTGATTCTTGATTAGATAAATCAGTCGTACTTTTTGTGGAAGCAGGACTAAGTGTATCTTCGGTTTCTCTGCGATGACGTGTCGGCATTCCATAATCAATATCGATGGTATTCGAGGTCCACGGTTTCGTCGTTTTACTAGAGGAAACCTCTTCTGATAACTCAGAGACAGTACTTGAAGTTATGTTGGGCGAAATTGGATTTTTTGTGGGCTTTTCTTCGAAATCTTCGGGGGATATCGAGCATGATAGTTGTTTTAGAATGTCTTCTCGGTCCTATAACATAAAAAGAGTAAATAGGTATTTAGAGTTAGAAACGGAAATAAAAATGAAGTATAAAAAATATGTAGACATAAGTGAAGGGGTGAGTGGATAAAGGTGTTATGTAATATTTTTTTGGTATTTTCTTTTAAAACAATTTTTTTCGCAATGAAAAAGACTTTTAAGAGTTGGTTTAGGAATGAAATTACCAAATGCTAAAGGCGTTATATACAACTTGCATTGTTGAATAAACAGTGGATAAAGGTGTTAAAATATGTTTAAATAAATAAATAAAATAATATTAAATAAATGTTTAAAAAAAGCACAAACAACACTAATTTTACTTAATTCAATTGCTTTCCGACGTATTGTTGACATAATTTTGCGAAATAATTGCGTTTCTTATTGAAAAATGTTTTAAAACGCTCGAAAAGAGCATAAATTATGTCGTTTTTTACTTAGTATTTGTATTAATTTTTTGGTGTTTTTTAGCAAAAATTAAAAAAAAACTTTCTTTAGACCTAAAAACGCAACTGAATGTTTGAAAAAAGCAAAAATGACATCATTTTTGAATTAATTATGTGATTTTTCGATTTATTTTTGACGAAGTTTTGTGCTTTAGATTGAAAAATCTGATAAAACGTTTGGAAAAGCAACCAGATGATTTTTCTTTCGGCTCAAAAACAAGCTTAAACTCTCCAAAGAAGCAAACATAATTTTAGTTTCGTGATAGTTTATTCATTTTTTACCTCATTTCCGACGAAAATTTTCAAAATAATTGCGATTCTGACTAAAAAACGTCCTAAAACGGAAAAATGGTATTTTTGAATCTTTTTTTAGCACAATCTAAAAAAGTAAATAACACCATTTTTGAGTTTTAGCGACTTGTGACGAAATAATTTTGTAAATTTTTAATTGAAAAACCTGCTAAAACACCCAAAAATCATAAAAAAGATCATTTTTAACCCAATTTGGTAATTTTACTATATGTGTTAACAGAATCTTACAAAAAAACGTGATGTAAATAAGCAAAATTCATTATTTTTCACTTAATTGAATGACTAATATGTACATTTTTGTCTAAATTTTTCGAGATAATTCCGTCTCTTATTGAAAAACATGGCGTTAATATGAAAAACCGTTTTCGAAAAGTCGTTGAACTAGCTTCAAAAACATGCTTAAACTCTCCAAAGAAGCAAAAATAATTTTAGTTCCGTAATAGTTTATTAATTTTTTACCTCATTTTCGACGAAAATTTTCAAAATAATTGC